CCGCAGAGTTTGTCAGTGACTGAGTGGTGGGCCGAGTGAGGAGAGACACCCTGCCATTTATTGGGGAAGGAGGGGATCTTGACTACATTTGAGATTGAGGTAAGAAGTTGGAGACATCTAATTAATAGTCAATAAGTAACTTACTAAGTTAAATTTAATATGTTAATTAAATTAACTTAAATTTAGTGTGTTAATTAAATTTAATACATACTGTTCCAGATGAGTTCATGGATACATATTTGGAAACTACTTCATTAAGCAGTAGAATAAAGAGTTCTTGTGTTTCCTGTCACATAATAGGGAAGTATGGAAGTCCTTGTAACTTCCTCCATACTTAACCACAGTAGTCAGTGTTGGAATGCCTGAAAATGCAAATATGCCTTTCTCCAGGGACAGCAAGGACTGGGTCCTGGGAGAAGGAGCAGCCAAGCTTCCTTCCCAGAGCTTGCAGTCTGGTCTCTGGTTGGAACTGTCTGTGTAGACCAGCAAACGGTGATATGTTTCTCCTAAGGCATTATCCTGCCTACCTCGCCTTGTCTGCTCTAGACACACTGGTCTCTTCCCTGTCTGTTCGCTGAGCGCACCAAGCCTTTCCCTAACTCAGCAGTGGTCCTTGCTGGTTCCTTTCCCTGGCACGTTTCCCTCATATGGTCACGTGGTTCTTCCTGGCGTAGAGAGGTCTTCCCTGAGCACTCTGTCTAAAGTGGCACCCTGCCCCTCCCCATCACTATGTCTTATGCTTGATTTTTCTTCAGAGCATCAGTACCTACCAGGCACCATATAGCTTTGTTTGCTTTTGTCTGTCTTCCTCACTGGAGTGACACACTGTTAAGGCAAATGTGATGCCTGAAACATAGGAGGGACTTAGAAAGACTTTATTAAATTAATTGAGTAGATATTGTGATTTCCTGTAGACAAAATCAGTCTGGGAAAAGTTCCCAGCATCAACTTGTGATTCCTCAGCGTAAGTACCGAGATGGTGTTATTTAGATTATCTTATATCTATTACTTCAAGATATCTATAAAAAAGAGATTCCAGTTTATGAGTGTGTGAGGGAGGAAAATTTTTTTAAGCATTCTTTTGTTCTAAAGTTTTACCTATAAATTGGTTGCTTGAAATTGAGAGCATATCACATATTCTGAAAAAGGATTCTTGCCTGGCTGGTGTGGCTCAGTGGATTGAGTGTCGTCCCATGGACCGAGAGGTCCGGTTTGATTCCTGGTCGGTGCACATGCCCCGGTTTCGGGCTCAATCCCCAGTAGGGGGCATGTGGGGGCTCTCACATCAATGTTTCTATCTCCCTCTCTCTCTAAAAAAAAAAGATTTTTGTATTGACTCAGAAAAATACCTATCTCAAATTCAAGAAATTCAGGCACACATGGAGAAAATACTTTCTGATAGATGACCCTGCTATTTTATTTATATAACCTCCTTTTTCTAAAGAAGATTTGAAGTTGGCTTAAAGAATCATTTATTCATTCAGGTATTTAAATGACAAAGATTTTATGTCTCCTGTTAAGCATTGGAGTGATGGGAGATACATTAAATTTGTAATTATACAAATAATTATTTAAAATGGTGATAAGAGCTATGAAGGAAAAAGAAGGAAGGAGAGAGAGAAGGTGGTTCTCTTTGGGCAGGCCAACCCACCTTCTCCTCGAGTGGCTGAATTCCTGAAGACATTCAGGGCAGTTTCCAGCCATTGCAGTGGGCCTTCTGACCGTCTGAGAGGCACGAGGGAGGCCTTGGACCTGGCCAGGTCTGGAAGGCTGCATAGAGATGGAGGGCCTCCTGTTTTAGTTGAGTCCTGTTCTAGTGTGAAAGATACTAAAATAAACAGAAAAAAGCTTTTCTCAGCTACGTAAATGAGCCCAAATGATGAATAATGGGTCGGCTGAAAGCAGGTAAATAAGTGTGTAGGAATTGTCCTCATTTCTTCATCCTGGAGCAGCTGTGCTGCGGTCCTTTATATTCACAGGTGTTTCACAGATGTTAACATACCTGTTCTCCAACTTACACTCAAGTTACAAATTTCCTGTGGGAATGACCATTCCTGCCTTAGGTGCCACCTCCTGCCAGCATTTCTGTGGACGTTTGGAGGTTGTAGGGCAGAGGTTCTTAGATTATATTCCAACAGAATCGTTCTTTTTCTTTTCCAGCTTCATTGCGTTATAACTGACAAATAAGTCTGTAGCTATTTAAAGTATACATCGTAGTGATTTGATATACATGTACATTGTGAAAGCATTCCCACCATACAGTTAATTAACATATCCATCACCTCTCATTTTATTTATTCTGGATTTTTTGTTTTGTTTGTGAGAATGTTTAAGTTCTCCTCTCTTCAGCAAATTTCATCCTGCAATAGTGTTGTCAGCTATGGTCACCATGGTTTACATTAGAGCCGTAGAGCACATCTAGCAGAATCTTAACTGGAAACATCATAGTGGTTATGAGCTTGGGCTCTAGGGTCAGACAGACAAGGTTCATATTCTGGCCCTGAGCAACTTAGACCATTTCCCTAGGCCTCTGTGAGTGTGTGTGTGTGTGTGTGAGTGAGAGAGAGGGAGAGGGTGTTGGAGGTGTCTGGGAGGAGTTGCTGACAGTCCCTGTCTCTTGGTCTGTTTGGAGTAAACTCTGTCATGCATACAAGATGGTAAACTAGCACAGTGCTTACATGAGTCCCGGGGGAGGTTCTGGGTGCATATTAAGTTATTAGTATTCCTGTGGCAGTGCCTGGAGTATCAGTTTTGGTTAGCTGACACTGTCTTTTCAGGCTCCTAGGGAGGTTCAATAGTGTCGAATCCTTTAACATTTTTGTCTAGGATTCCATCTGCAAAAAAGGGAAAGAAACTCCCTCTAACTGTTCTAAATGGCCATGTGCTGATAGGACTCATAACTCTGGCTAGTACTTGTTAATATTGCTTAATTTATCAGTGTTAAAAAATAATTATTAGATAGCCTAGGGTACCAACTACCAATTTTATACTTTTCTCCCCTTTGAAAAACAATTGATTCATGTTTCCAAAATTCTAGTTTATAGTTAAAAATTTTGTAAATGGGCACTATATTTAGAAGTAAGAAATTTTTACACTTTAGCTAATTAAAAATACCTTACGGTCATTTTCTGGGGCGGTTTTGGTATTTCTGCGATGTGGAATGCATTTCACTTGTGCATGATGGTATGCTGGGACCAGGAGTGGATCAAGCAGGATCGAGGCATTTGTTCTTCTAAGGCGAATGCTGTCGACTCTGCCCCTTCCAAGACGTGAACCCAGGTCTTCAGATGCCTGCTTTTGCACATTCCAACTCAGAGCAGGCCAGAGAGTCCTTCATAATGACTTGCTCATTGCTATGGGGTTTATTTCTCTTGAAGCAGTCTATTGATAGTTTTTTTAAAAATTGAAATATTGAGAGTACTCAAATTTGGATGATTTTTTTTCTTGGCACAAAATGTTCTTAAAAATTACAAGAGCTTGATTGTTGTGGGAAATTAATCTTTTTTGCTTAGAGTTTGCTGTTTGCCTGCATTGGTTTCTTTGAAAGTCCTTGAGAAATGTTTCCCTTTGCAGTGAAATAAAGAACACTCAGACTACAAAACCTATCGTTTTTAGGTGTCATGATACACACATCAGTTCTTTAGGGTTTATGCAGTACCAGTTAATAGATGCTTGGTTTTCCTTTGATTTGAAAGTTAATTATAAAATAGCAGTCATGTTTCCCCGGCCAGTTTGGCTCAGCAGTTAGAGCGTAGGCCTGTGGACCAAAGAGTCACGAGTTTGATTCCTGTCAAGGGCACGTACGTCTGTTGTGGTTTGATCCCCGGCCCTGATTGGGGTTGTGCAGGAGGCAACCAATTGATGTGTCTCTCTCACATCGATGTTCCTCCCTCCCTCCCTCTCTATCTGAAAATCAATGGAAAAATATCCTCAGGTGAGGATTAAAACTACATAAATAAATAAAATAACAGTCATGTTTTACCAGTTGGCCCAAATCTCTGTTTTTCGTCCCCTTATATATGTATCTAATAGTAATCTTGTTTTTTTTTTTTTATCCTCACCAGAGGACATTTTTCTATTTATCTTCAGATAGAGTGGGAGGGAGAGAGAGGGTGAGAGGGAAAAGAGAGAGAGAGAGATGGACGTGAAAGGGACACATCGAGTGGCTGCCTCCCGCACGACCCCAACCAGGAAGGGGACAAATCGCAACCGAGGTACGTGCCCTTGACCGGAATTGAACCCACAACTCATTGGTCTGCAGGCCGACACTCTAACCACTGAGCCAGATCTGTCAGGGCAGTAATCTTGTTTTTAAGAGTACAATGAATTTTAGCATAAACTTTGGTTAGTAATTGTATAAAATTGCCTTTCTTAGAGACTGTGTGGTACTGTGGCGACTTTGCTATTTAATGACTTGGTAGACTGGTGGATTACTGTTTTCTGGAAAGGTCACACTTCCCTTGAAGGTCCAGAATAAGTTGTAGTGTTCTTGGTTGGAATAGCCAAGGCTCTGTCAAGGGGTATTGGTGGTGGGGAATAAAAGCATGGATGGGTTGGGGTCCCGCTGGCCATCATGGCCTTTCTGGTATGTGCCAAAAATATTCATTGAGTAAGGAGTGTTGATTTTGAGTTTTTAGATGTTCTAAAATGCTGATGGTAGCCTTTGACTTAAAAGTAAGTGTAAGCTTAAGCTGACAGAGTCTCTCTGAGTTTAAAGCAATATGGTGCCAGAGATATACGTATTTTGAAAATGGTTGCAGGTGGCTGGAAGAAAACATTAACACAGACATGCTTGAAGGCCAGTAGTTTCCTTTGTAGACTCACAAATAGGCATCAAAACAACTCCTGAAATGCTTGACATCATTGTCCTGGTCTTGGCTTGCCAGTTTCAGCTTTCAGTTAGTTACATGTTTGCATATTTGCTCATTGGACCAGAAAAAAACAAAATGCTAACTGGGTTTCTTCATTTTGCAATGATCCTTCTGTCTCTTAACTTGCAGAACGATACTGAGCCTGTGGCAGCCACTGAGACCCTGGCTGAGGTACCTGAACATGTGCTTCGCGGACTTCCAGAGGAAGTGAGGCTTTTCCCATCTGCTGTTGACAAGACTCGGATTGGTGAGTACTGGGGTCCGAGAAGGAGCGGGGGAAGGGATTGCCGGCAGCCAGGCTTCCTTTGAGGCAATTAAGGTAGGGAATTTACCATAAAAGCAACAGATTTACATTCTCACTTAGAAGAGTATGTGGTGTTTATGCAATTTCCAGTCAAGAATCCAGGGTGGACATAGATCATGAAATTAAACCAGAAACACCTGCACACCCACCACCCTTTGTGACTCAGCCTGAGTGTCCCCCTTTCTCCATGTCTCCCTGGGGCTCTTCTTCCCACACAGTGTATGAGTGTGATTGTGCTGTTAGGTTTATTTTGTTATTTTGTACTTGTTTTCACATCTGTCCCTTTCATTGCTTGTGCATACCTTCATTTCTTATTTATCTTTATGTCTCCAGTACATGATGACACTATGGACCTCAGGAGGTATTTGAATGAATGACAACCTGAATAAATCTGAATGCTTCAGGCTGGGATGTCTTGTTTAATACAAGCCAAGCTTTTGTGTATTTGGTATTGCTTTGTGTTCTGATCTTTGGTCATAAGGCTAAGGAAGTAAATTATAAAAATTTAATCAAAGTACAGTCTTGGAATAATATCATATTTATATCCTGTTTCCTTTTTTATGTTTTTAAATCTTCACCCGAGGATATTTTTCCATTTATTTTCAGACAGAATAGGGGAGGGAGAGAGAGAGAAACATTTATGTGAGAGAGACACATTGATTGGTTACCTCCCCTCCCTCATGACCCTGACCAGGGCCAGTGACCAAAAGCAACTGAGGTACGTGCCCTTGACCGAAATCGAACCCACGACTCTTCAGTCCCCAGGCCAACGCTCTAACCAATGAGCAACCAGCCAGAGCCTGTTTCCTTTTTTAAAGATGTACTTCTGATATTCTAATTTATGTATATATATATGTGTGTGTGAATAAATTTTTTATAAATGCTTTCTAATTCTCATTGGAAACTGTTCGGTGAATAACTTAAGCGTTTAAATTGTATCATTCATATGAAAGTATTTGATTTTATAGCTCCACTAATGGATTATTAGCTGTGTTATCAAACAGGATCCTAGCAGACTTTACAGAAAAGTGGAAATTGTACATCCTGGCTGAGCAGGACTGGCTGAAACACCTCCCTCCTCCTGTACGTGAGGAGGCTGAGGCCAGGAGATGAGGGGAAGTGTTCAGAGGGATGTTGTCAGTGAGAGTCACTTCTGTGCGACTTCACGGTTCCCTTGACTGCTGGTGGCCTCCTGCCATTTTATCCACTGCTGCTTCAGCTGGTCTGTCTGCCTTCTGGTCAGTGCAGAGGAAATAGAGGCACCCTACGAACACCACGGGGCAGCATAAATCTTGGCTGTTGCAAGTCATCAAAGGGAGTTGTCCCAGTAGCTAAGTTTTTAGGAAACTTAGTGAGGAGAGGGTTTTTAAAAACAAACTTCAAAAATATTTATTTATAAAAACTGTATTTCCAACTTTTTATAAAAGCAACTCATATTTATTTGAGATCATTTGCAGTCTGTAGAGAAGTAGAAAGAGGAGTTAAAAAGTATTTGTAGTTTCACTACATTCCAGTATTTTTCTCTCTTTAATTGTGATTGTGCTGTTTTCCAAGTATTGGTGATTGTACTGTCTGGGTAATTTTACATGAAAAAATTAAAAACAAGCAAATATAGCCCTGGCCATTTTGGCTCAGCAGTTAGAGCGTTGGCCTGCGGTCTGGAGAGACCCGGGTTCGGTTCCCGCTAAGGGCACGTACCTCGGTTGCAGTTTATCCCCAGCCCCGTTGGGGTTGTGTGGGTGGCAGCCACTCAATGTGTCCCTTTCACGTCGATGTTTCTCTCCCCCCCCCCCCCCACTCTATCTGAACAAAATACCAAAAAATGTCCTCGGGTGAGGATTAAAAAATAAATAAATAAGTAAATAAATAAAAACAAGCAAATATAAAACATTTTTTCCTACTATATAAAATATAGGTTCTTTATAGGCTATTTGGAAAATATAGAACATAAAGAAGAGAAATAGAAATCACCATTGAAGACTTGATTTAATTTCACTAGATCTTAGCTGACTTAACATTATCTTGCTTTTAGGCTGTCTAACCTTTTAACTATTTTGTGAAACTGAGTTGATTTTAGTGCTTCAGTCTTTTCGTTTTTTCTTTCCAATCCGAGAAGAGTGGTAAGCCGCCAACCTGAGTCACAGCACCAGGTGGTGGTGCTGTTAGACCTCGGTTCTTGAGCTCAGCAAAGACAGAACTCAGAGCCAAGAGTTCTAGCCTTTTAGAAAGAAAGCCACAGAGGCAGAAGAAGTGAGCCAGCTGGGCTATGTGGGCTCAGGAAACAAGTCACAGAGGCAGAAGAAGGGCCCTTGGAGCTCAGGAGAAAGAAAGCAAAAGATACATACGTGCCTGAGGAAGGGGAATTGGGTAGGAGAGCATGCTCCAGAGGGGGGGGGGGCACTAGTGCTTCAGTCATTAAGGTAACCACATACATTATTAAAATGTTGGTTTTATTTTCTAGGTGTCTGGGCCACTAAACCAATTCTAAAAGGCAAAAAGTTTGGACCATTTGTTGGTGATAAGAAAAAAAGATCTCAGGTTAAGAATAATGTGTACATGTGGGAGGTAAGAAAGAATTCTAGTTCTTTGTTTATCAGAGTTCTATACTTTTTTTAAAGGAATGGTCTATTCTCTTAGGATTTGACATTTTGAAATTAAAACAACCACTTTAATGTGTTCTTTAAAATCAAGAATATTTTTATTAAGGAGAAAATGTGTTTCCTTGGATACAGACTGCTGTTTACATTTGTATTTTGAGACTGCTTGGCCGTCCTCAACAGTAAATGTCAAATCCACTTTTTCTATTGCCTTGTTCAGGGTGTTTGCTTTGCAGCCAAGACTTTTGTCTGTCACTTTACAGCCTTCCAGATAGACACCATAAAAGACACCCCAAGGTGGCCACAAAAATACACTGTGGGGTCTTCTCTATATTTTAGAACGTCATCTGTGTTGCTGGAATATTCAGAGTTGAATATATTTAGCACATGGCACATTTATATAGTGCTTTGAACTTCTCAAAAGGCTTTTATTCAGTTTGTTTCATGTTCTCCCAATAATCCTGGAAGACAGAGCAGAACATTAGCGCCCTGCTTACAGAGGTGAAGTGGCCAAGAACAGTGGGGCCCAGATGTTGAGAGTGGTGTCAGTTCAGAACTAGAACCCATATCTCTCACCGGATAGTCAGTTAGACAATTAAAAATGTTTCATTGGTTTATATCCTACCTTTAGCTTTGCAACTCTGGCTAAAACTCTTAATTTCAAAATAGGGAGAATAAAAAATATCTCATTAAGACAGCTGTGAAGATAAAATATGTTTGTTACTGTTTCCTGGAGAGTTGCATGCGAATTCACCAATTATGTGGAATTTAGTTCAGTTCTGGTGCCCCCTCGAGTTCCTCACATTCTTATAGGAACTCAGTGGTGTGACTCCTTCTTTTTAAACATTTTTTTTCTTTATTGATTTTAGAGAGAGAGGAGGGGGGGGAGAGAGAGAGAGAGAGAAACATCGATGAAAGAGAACATCGATTGGCCACCTCCTGCATGCCCCCCTTTGGGGACCTCGCCCAAAACCGGGGCATGTGTCTTGACCAAGAATTGAATCGGTGACCTCTTGGTGCATGTGTCGATGCTCAACCACTGAGCCACACCAGCCGGACATGGTGTGACTCCTTTTTAAAGCAATTAAAGTTTTTTGGTGGCGAGGATACGCATTTCTCTCAGTTTGTCTTAAATTGAATCACATCTGTTTCACTGTAAACATACAAAAGCCTAAAAATAAAATACGCATAGGAAATGTCTGGACATTTTACATCAAGAAGTTCTGTGGCATTTGTACGTTTGAAGTATATTGCTGCTCTCCTCATTGCTATAAGTAATGTTGCTTAATTTGAAAATTCTGACGGTTTCTCCTAGTAATTTTGAGTTTCTTGGTTGTGAGTCCCTTATAATGAGCCTAATGACAGTTAACCCAAGGGGCTTTAGGAAATGAGGGTTTACCTAAGAATAATTACATTTTGCTGTTTTACCACTTTTGAGGTCAGAGAGTGCTGTATTTGTAGAAAAACCACCCAGCCAAAAAATGCTGTTACCCTGAGTTGTCACAAAAGTCTTGACTACAAAATTATGCTCCAAACTACATTTTTAATTTTAGAAGTTTCTCAAGGGAAACTTACAAATGCGGTCTTTCAGGTTAGCACTCACCTGAGCGAGGATCATGTCAGGGACCCAGGAAATGTGTGCTCTAGTTCCGGGTGTAAAACGCCAAAGCTTGAACAAATGCCACTAAAATTAAACCTAAGTTCATGGTACCCATTTTACTCAACACAGCAGTTTGATATTGTTGGGCATATTGTATGCATTATTAATGGTGCCTTTTGTCCATTAAGCTTCATTTGTGTTGAAACTCATGCATAGTACGAATTCATAGCAGCTTGGCAAAAGTTGTGATTTGGAGCCATGGCATATTAGGGGTTCGAGTTTACTGTAAGCCTGTTAACATTCCCTTGTTAACTTCAGGTACTTCTGCTTAATTACTACCACAGTTTGTGAATCCTTATGACATTGCCAGTTTTTGTGGGTCAGGTTTAAAGATTGAGTTTTTGTCAGGGCTGGCTTTTTCTTCCTGCAGTTATAAAAAAAATCTGGAGGGGGCGTTGCAGGGCTGGGTGAAAAAGGTGAAGGGATTAAACAAAGGAGAAAAGAAAAACCTCATAGACACAGATGACAGTATGGTGATTGCCAGAGGGAAAGGAGGGTGGGGGGAGGAAGAAGAGGGCATAGGGGGAGAAATGGTGATGGAAAGAGACTTGACTTGGGGTGGTGAACACACAATGCAATATTACAGATGATGTCTTATAGAATTGTACACTTGAAACCTATATAATTGTATTAACCAGTGTTACCCCAATACAGTAAAAAAAGAAAAAAATCTGGATGTCATTCAGATAGTCCCAACTATAAAGTATATATATATTCCATACAAAAACCTAAGTCTTTGCTTTGTTACAAGTAGATATATATATGACATACATATGAAGAAGTAGCATTTGGCAAAGTACAGGGAGCATAAATTATAATGTACTATTTCTTATAAAGAAGGAAATAAGAATCCAGGTAAAATTTAGTATTTCCCCATTAATTTATTGCAACCTTGGTCTTATCCTTAGACTTGCATCAGAGTGCCTCTTATTAATGTAACAGAAACTGCTTGTCATTAAAATCTCATCTTGGCATTCTTCAGTTAGAGCCCCTTCCGAACAGCTCATCTTTTGCTCCAGCTAGAACTCCATTTTAAAGCTGATCAGAAACAGCGTTAAATTGCTTTTCTTGAGCCCTTGGTTATCTAGCATAGTCTTAGGTCTTCTAAGCTTTCACTGAAAACATTCTGTTAAATCAGAAATAACAGGAGAAACACAGTAGAGTATCCTCAGGGTGAATGCACAAAACAGGTTCTCCGAAGAGGAGAGCGTTCTTTGATCAGTTTCGGGGGGTGGCGGGTGGGCTGCTAGTCCCCTGCCTGCCCCACATCTGCTGAGCAATCTGTAGGACTCTAGAACAGCTTCTGGGGAAAGCCTTTCAAATTCACTTCTATGGGGCTCAAATTGCTTCTGATGAACTAAATCTTTAAAGTCTATGTCTTTTAAAAAGATACAGACTTTATTTTTTAGAGCATTTTAGGTTCACAGCAAAACTGTGCAGAAAGTACAGAGAGTTCCTTTATGAACTGCCTGCCCCCATGCACAGCCTCCCCCACTATTAACATCCTGTACCAAAGTGGTACATTTGTTACAATCGATGATCTTGCATTGACACATCATCACTTGAAGTCCACAGTTTGCATTAGGGTTGGTTCTTGGTGCCATTCATTATGTTTTGTTTTAACTTACAAAGGTTGCACACACTCATTGCAAAATAACATGAACAATACAGAAGATTATACACAAGTAAAAGTCATTTGGGAACATTTTGATGGACATTCTTTTAACTGTTTCTCTGCCTCTGTGGTACAGATACAGACACATACATAGGTGGTTCATGCAGTGGAGGTTAAACAGTACAGTACATGTAGTTGTGTAACGTGCCTTTTGCTTTCCATATGTTATGGATATATCTGTGTCAAACACTTATGTACTTACTATTTCTTATGCTGCTTAGAATTCTGTTGTACCATTCACTGTTTAACCAGTTGGGCATTTAAATAGTTTTAATTTTTTCATTATATTAACAAGTCTTCAAACATGAAACTCTATATACATATTTGCTGACTTGTCTGGTTAACCTATTAAGATAAATTTCTAGAATTATAATTGTTAAGTCAAAAGTTACTTTATATGTTTTAATTTTTGACAAATTTTTCTTAACAGACATCTAGAAGGATACTAATTTACATAAATATCATGAGTGTATATTTCTTAATTTTTAAAACCCAGCATTGTTAATCGTTTAAATAGGTTTTCCCATATTGTTATAGATGAAAACTGATAGCTCATCCCTTTTGTATTTTTTTAAACTTATCTTTATTGTTGAATGTATTACAGTGTTCCTTCTTTTTCCACTATTGACCCCTCCTTCCTACTTATACCCTCCTCCTGCCTTTCCCCACACTATTGTCTGTGTCCATTGGTTATGCATATTTGCATATAAGTTCTTTGGTTTATCCCCCACCCCCTTCCTTTGAGGTTTGTCAGTCTAACAACCAGTTTGTACTTCTTAATCCCTTCACCTTCTTCACCCATCCCCCAACACCCCTCCCCTCTGGCAACCAACAGAATGTTCTCTGTATCTATGAGAATGTTTCTGTTCTGCTTGTTCATTTTGTTTGTAGATTCAATTGTTGATATGTACGTATTATCATTTTATTGTTCATATTTTTTATCTTCTTTTTCTTGAAGAAGACCCTTTAACATTTCATAAATACTGGTTTGGTGGTGGTGAACTCCTTTAGCTTTTTCTTATCTGGGAAACTCTTTATATGTACATCGATTCTAAATGATAGCTTTGTAGGATAGAGTAATCTTGGTTGTTCACCCCTTCTGTTTTTATATTATTCATTCCGGCAATTGATTTTGAGTCAGAAGAATGGAGGGAAGCAGTAGAATTGCATTTCAACTACAATTGAAAGAGAAGTTGTATCTCTAATAATGAAAATACTTTAATGTAATTTTTTAAATAATATTTTTCTTTATCATCACTTTTAAATGAGGATAACAAGCTCGCAGAGTTGTTTGCCTATAGATTAGATGATGTATATGAAATTACTTGATGTAGATGTTGCTGGCTCAACAAATATTAATTGAACCTGAACATCAAAGAAAAACACTTGCATTATCAGATAGTGGATAAAGACTTTTTTTTGTTTGTATTTGAATACTTTTTAAATGTTTACCAATGTTCATTTTTGTTAGAATTTCTTTCTCTTCCAGTGTCAGAAGGTATGGGCTGTGTTTTGAAACAAAAAATTAGAATACTATTGGTTGGAAGGTCCTGGAATTGACTTCTGAATTATTTACTTATGGAAATGCATTGGAGGTAAATGCTATGCAAGTTGGCTAGTGGGGAAGTGAACC